ATGATTCTATGATTCTATTATAGAAAGTGCAAAATGGCATTTTTTTCCAAGGGAAAAATCTTTAAAATACAAATGAATTAGGCGGACATTTTATTGTTTCGAGGAAGCAACAAAATCACCCAATACTTAGTAAAAATGTAAAATGCCTTTTAAATAAATGCTAAATTATTTTAGCTGAAAGAACTCATCCTGGAAAAAATGCTCAACAATAAAGTTCACTATACTGCAGTAAATGAAGCTTAAAAGCAGAAACACTACACAAAAATAACAGTCAGGAATTGTGAAAATACTGTGATCTAAGTCAAAAGACTAAGTGTGATGTTAATAAAGCTTATTGTTAAGTCATCTTCTACAGTAGTTTACTTTATACAATATTAGTTATTAACAGCACCCAGAAGTTTATTAGGTACTTTATAGATCAGGTCCTTGTCCTGCTGAGTTTACAATCTAATCATACATACTGTACACGCACCTAAAAGAACAACAGATATTATATACACTTTGCAAACTCTCAAAGCTTTTTTTTGCCTCATCTCCAGTGTTCCCACAGCTCCAAAGCAATGCTGCCTGTAAATATTAAATGGGTACTATCCAGTCATTCCTGTCTGTGAAGTACATGTAATATTTTAGGCAGTTTTCCAAAACAGCCTCCTCATTTCATGTTTCCTTCTAAAAAATCAGTACTACAAACACTGTTTTCTTATCAGCAACTGTAGACCAACAAGCCACTCTGTTTCTTTACTCATTTGCATACACAGATTGGGGGAATAATGCAATAACTGCCTTGAAGGAGACTCAAATAAGGGTCTTTTGTTCCCCAGCCATTAGTGGCTGCAAGTGCTGTGGGGGTCGCATGAACTTGGGAGAAGGTAACGCCTAATATTCCTCCATATACATTTGTATAGTTGCTTCTGAATTGGCATTGATAGACTGTGGAGGTAGCAAAATTCAGCCTTTCAATCCAAGAGCAGCCATATTGGCCAGGACTCCCTGGGAGGCCAGAAACTTCCCCCAGGAGTACATTCTCACAGATCTGGGAGCCTCCCACGAGGCCTAAGAATGCACTGCTAATTTTTGCTGACGGGGGGACACAAGGAGAGCCTTTAAAATGAGTGCGGTTGTTGTCTCCATGAATTTGGGGGTGGAGAGGTGGGTTTGGTAAAACCTTGATTGGATTTTGGCACAGGAAGGGGAATTCTGTAAATATCCTTAAAACAATTAATCAGTAGGGAGATGTGTAATAGTTTGTGGAATTAGTTGGGTTAAAGAGAACAGAACTGAGGGTAGGGGTAAGAGTCAAAATCAAAAAGGAAAAAACCTGACAATACAATAGATCAGTAGAGCGGCAATTGGACATAGCCATATATAAAGAGGAACTACAAGATGTGTGCTAAACATCACTCTGATCACCATGCTTATATATTTTATTTCTGTCCCTTAGCCTGTGTATGCATCATCTCCTGTGTGAATCCCATTGCAGGAGCAGGGCCTTACTTAACAGTTAAAATAAATAGTTAAAAGTACAAACACCGGGGTGGTATGTAATTTTATTTTTCCCCTTACAATCCAGGAATACAATATATGAAGCCACTAAAGCAGTTTAAGTATCAAGTCTCAGATTAATTGTGCAAAAAAATCAAGAAACTAGAGAAAATGTAAACCTGTGCCCTAAGCTATAGTTATTTATTTGACGTGGGGAAAAGATTAAATTTCAGGTGAATGTTTTCATTGCAACCATCAAAGTTTATAAAAATTCTACATAAAAGCATATTTTGAAAGTAACAAGAGACACACAATCTGAAGATTACCTGAAGATACCTACCGAAAGAATAAATTAAATCCAAACATGGTAAACATGCATAACTCAGTTTATAGATAAGAAGAAACCACTTGTAGACCAACCTGTGGATCAGAGAAAAGGAAACATACTGAAGATCTCCAAAATCTCATACTGTATCATATCTTAGACTGCTACATCTTTTTACAAATTCAGTTTCTAAGAAATGCAAGTTTAAAATGTCCTGTCTTTGTCTATATTCAAAATTAAACTGGGATTAAAATCCATTTGGATGGAAACTCCTTTCTTATCACAAGAAATGGGTGTATCACCACACCTGCATATTTAACAAAATACATTGCCGAGAAGGTACCCTGGGCCTGCTCCACCAAAAGACGACTAGTGATCATTAGGATTTACTGCTGTGAGTAGTCGCTTTGAAGTAAATGGCCTTGGCTACACTGGTGCTGTACAGCGCTGCAACTTGCTGAGCTCAGGGGTGTGAAAATGCCCCCCCCCCCCCGAGTGCAGCAAGTACAGCACTGTAAAGCGCGAGTGTAATCAGAGCCTGCAGCACTGCACGCTCGCTCGCAACACTGCAAGCTATTCCCCTCAGAGAACGGCAGCACTGGGAAGTCTTGAGTGTAGCCAAGGCCAATGATAGTGCTCAAATGGAGCTACTCACTGTAGTAAGCACCACACTGTAGTGTTTGTAGGGTGAGAGGCCCATAGCTGAATATAGGAATTAAGATACACATATATGGTGTTAACTTTAACTTTCATACTTACTCATTTACATTTCAAGTTTGATAAAGGTCACCAACCAAAAGCATACTTAGGCACCTAAATAAAAGGAGCTTGATTTTCTCTAGGTGTTATTCAAACGTAGCAATGTGATTAATAAATGTCTTAATCTACAACTATTAAATTTATTAAACTTTGTGACACATGAACAGCAAATGACTGCAAGTCCAACCAAAGTATCCCCTTAACAATCCCCACCCTCCATCTTCAATTGTCCTTCAAAAGAAAGAGGACCTAAAGAATACATACCGTAGTGTTCTGCCTGAGAAGGGTTTGCGGGTATCTCTGAAGATGATGTAACTGGTAATAAGTTAGAACATTCCCCACATGGACAGAAATTGCCACCAGTGAAGTTTGATGGTGAAATACAAAGGAACAACCCACATCTGCAGGAGGGTTACCAGCTGTCAGAGAAATACAGAAAGTCACTTTAAACTACTAAGAGCCTAGAGTTCTGTATTCCATCATTACTTTAATTAAAGTATATTGACAAACCAGAATAGTGACAAACCACTACAAAATATATGTTGCATCATTTGTACAGCACTGACCACAATGTGGCCCTGATATTGATTTGGGCACTACTGCATTATAACTAATGATGATGATTTTTCTCTCACTTACAACACTGTAGCTCAGGAATAATTCCAATTCAGTGGATAGCTACACTGTTATAAAACTGGGGTAAAAGAAATCAGGCCCATAATCAAAAGGCCATATCCTCCGCTGATGTCATGCCACTGAAATCAACTGATTTAAAAAAAAATCAATTTACATTTAAAAGTGACTGATACAAAAGTTCATGGGCCAAAATCTCTGAAATCAACAGAGTTACATCAGTTAAGAATTTGGCCGATAAGATTTAGAGTCACTCTTAAAAGCCTCTACTGAAAGTCATGGCATTGAATTCAGTCCCAAATAAACCAGCCATAAAACACTGACAATGACTTTCTAAAAATCTCACTCACCAGCACAAACAAAATGGATTAAACTTTTTCATCTTTTTCTCAATTAATGCTGGTAAACTTAATAATTTATACTTGCTCATCTCTGCTTTTTAATTTGCCTGTGGTAATCAAATATCTATTCCAGATCCTTTACAATATGCAAACATTTTAAACCCACTGAACAGTCAGCCTTCTGATGTTGGCACTCTCCAGGACTCCTATTCATTGACCATGAATTTGGCACTGGGAAAACCTGATGGTGGTAGAGATAAAGCTAAATGACTTTAGTGTGTTTGTAAAGTTTAAGAGTTGCAGCTCCTAATCCTGTATTGGTAGACTTTATAATAAGGTTGCTGAGAATAAAAGAAACTGTGAAGAGACTCATTTAGAACGTGGATAAATTAAAAAACAACAACCCCCCACCCTCAAATGTTATCTATAACAAGGTGACGGGTCACAATTTCCTTACTGGGGGGAGGGAAGGGAAGGATAAGAATCTCATCTCTTAAACCTAAAATGAAATCATGTAGTGCCCAATCTTATTCCAGCTGACATCTATCGGTGTTTTGCCATAGACTCCAATGGAAGCAGAACTGAGGCTTTCCTCTGTTACTAAGAAAAATTAGGGACTTTCTGTATTTAAAAACAAAAGGGAAATACAAACTTTCCCCTAAAAAAAAACTTTAATATGAAGCAATATTTTGTTAAAATTAGTATTTAATTATCAAGGTCTTGATAAAAGATTAGGTCATTTAAAATAAATAGATGTAAAAGATAGGAACACAGCAATTCTGGATCAGACATTGATCCAGCTGGGCCTAAGCCCTGCACTTGCAGAGATCAAGGGCTACTACAAGGTGTGGGAAAGTCTGCTACTCAACTATCAAAATAATATTGCTCCTCCCATCCCATGCACTACCAGTTGCCTCTGGTGGGTCATTTGAGGGTTTGTCTGCACTGGCAATTAACAGCGCTGCAACTTTCGCACTCAGGGGTGTGAAAAAACACCCCCCCCTGAGCACAGCAAGTTGCAGCACTGTAAAGCACCAGTGTAAACAGTGCCCAAGCGCTGGGAGCTACGCCTCTCATTGAGGTGTTTTTTTTCCATGTGCTGGGTGATTCTATGAACACCAGACAGGGTGAATGCAACCTCTGCATGTCACGCAATGTAGTGTAGGATTGGCATGTGATCTGCAGTAGCCAATACCTGATACTTCAAAAGGACTACAGAATGCTTTCCAATGTGCAGGGGGAGCAAGCATACACACTGTACGTGTACGCCTTTGTGGAGTTCAGCACCTTCTCCTTTTTAGTGGCTGGCATGAGTTATGGCTGTGCCTTCTCACTGCATTCTGCCCATCCCTTCCTGCCCCCTGTAGGGCACTGTTCACCCTCACAAGAGATGGGGGAGCAGTTCCTGGCTTTCTTTGACTGCAGGAACTGGAATTCTCACTGGCCCTCACCTAAGCCATGCCAGTTGGAAGAGGCTTCCTGCTGCCTCCCCTTCCCACTGTGCACCTGTGTAAGGGCCAGGAAGAACATGATCCTAAAGTTCTAGCATGGTCACATGTTATTTTTTGACTGCTGAAAGTGGAACCTAAAATTACAGTTCAGCCTCTTAAATTATCAGACCGTCAGCTACATAGGAGCAGCAACTTTCCCAGATTTGTTCAATGCTAATCATCATTATCTAATTGGTTAGTTATAAACATTCATGTCTTAACCAATTTTAAAATTGTACTTTGAGATTTTCTTTGCTAATTCTATAAAGGAGATTGAATTTTGGTGAAGATATTACATTAAATCTAAAAAGAACTCATCTCTTCAAAGCTATTAAAGATACTCTTCATTGTGTTCCATACAAATTGAACTGTTAATTTTAATAGTAATTGCCACATATGAAATGTAGGAAAGTTATATCAAGTAAATAAGAGTATAAAAATATGAAATCATGTCATAAAGATACAAGGCCTAGTATCTGCAATATATTAATAATTCTGGAGGGTCACCATCTGGACAAGATCATGTAACAACACATCTGCATTGCTGGTAAATGGCAACTCTAGCATCTGGATCATATTATTCCAAATTTTCCTCATCCATATATCATAGCAAGAGGAATTTCCTGACAAATCAGACAGCTGCCAAAAAGTAAAATGTTTTTTTCTTTATTGTACTTTAAATGAGCACAAAAAGACCTGGAAGTGAAGTCAGTATTGGCGTCCTAGACAGCATTCCCATTTTCTAATTATACAGATGGAACAACAATTCACACAAACATACAATGATTTTTTTAAAGATTATATTTGTACTCTGCCTCAAATTATCTTTTTTTTCCTGTTATGAGTAAACAAGAACTTATACCACAAACAAATTCAGACAAAAAAAAGAAAAAAAGACATTATTGTGCTATTCCTTCCATCTTAAAGCAAGTGGTGAAAAATGCATACATAAAGAAAATAACTGTTAATAATTAGATTTATTGTGACAGAATGATCTCATCAGAACTTGTTAATTTGGCAACAGAAGCCAATGGGCTTTCTAAATATCTAGTTTCTTTTGATGCAGACATATTCAAATATTTAAAACATGTGCATGAAAGCAGTAATAACTCAGCTATGTGGCATTTAAATTTTAATGTAATATGCTTACATTCAATTGTATGCCAGAAATTGGCAGAGATTTCTATATTAACCAAACCAAAATGACAATATTTTCAAGTTTAGACTCATTATTTATTGGTAGAAATCAATTATTTGTTAAATATATTACTTCATTTGTCAACTGTATTCCAAAGTACTCATTACATGGCAATCTTGCCACAGAGGATTTATGACTAGTAGAATACACAACTTATATTTATATAGTCATCTATGATCAGAAACATCTGAAATGATTTGAAGACAAATATTCCTTTTCTGTCCTACATATTTTAAAACTTTGTATTATGCCAGAAGAAAGCATTTTTCTGAACACAGATCATATATATTAAATATTAATCAGTGGATAGCTTCCAAAAATAAGCAAACTCTATGATAAGAAGCACCTCAGTATCTGCTAGTCAGATTTTCCCTTGGGAAAAGACAGAGGGTCAAATCATTTGACAAGCTTTCTTACTATATTCTTTTTTTCAGTTGACGATTCCAGACCTGACACTCCATTCTGTCACATCAGTTTGACATTGACTTCATTGGAGTCAAGTCAGTGTAAAACTAGTGTAATGGAATGGAGAAACAGGCCTGCTACTTGCACACTGAACTGATCACTTTCTGAAAATCAGGCTCTTAAGATATTTTTCAGCTTGCATATGAAAAAAATGGAGGGATCCAGAGTCATTACTCAACTTTGAAAAACTTGGACAACAAGTTTAATTTGTCAAGAAAACTAATCAGGATTTCATAAACTCTTATGCGTCTGATGAAGTTGGTATTCACCCACGAAAGCTTATGCTCCAATACATCTTTTAGTCTATAAGGTGCCACAGGACTCTTTGTTGCTTTTTACAGATCCAGACTAACACAGCTACCCCTCTGATAATAAACTCTTATAGTTTCCTTCAATCTGCACCTCCATAATTTGGAAGCTAATTCTCTCGGCCAACTAGCCGCGTTACAAGAAGTTACATCTACAAGAAGTACTGAAGCGAGGACTACTAAGATTTATTCCAGCATCAGGAAAACCACATTTTTTTTTCCAGGCTCACACCCAGGCTATTTTACATTTGACCATCTGGTGGCTGGCAATTTCTTCCCTCACGCCAGAATTATCCATAGCTGAATTTTGGCTGGTTTGTTACAACAAATGCTCTCACTCCTTTGACACAGGAACCTTTCCCAGCATGCTCCTCTTTCAGTTGCTGGCCCTCTAAATTTTGAATAAACGTACAGAACGCATTTTAGAAGCTGCGGGCTGTAACTACCTCCCTTGAATTCAGTAAGTATTTGGGTATTTTTCTCTTTTTAGACACACTGATGCCCTTTCCTTCCAGGTTTGATTTTTATGCTTCCTGTAGCCTATTTTCCCCCAAGTTTACCAAACAACTGGTAGGTTGTCAATCCCCCTCAACTCTTTGTCTGACTCCTACCTACTACAGTCATGCAAAGATCTCATTAATGAGTCAATCAAACAGGCATCCCGCAGAGGACATACATATCCAGCTCAGAATAAAGGAGACAGAAAGCATTTGGAGGTACCTTGGAGGGAATAAGAAGACTTAGGACAGCCTTCCATCAGAGCCTTCATACCACTAGGAATAAGAGTGCCTTTGTACCAGAGGCACCATGGTGCCAAATGGTTATGCCAAACCAAGCCACATGTGATGATAATCTGGTTCCCTAATCTCCTAGGGAAAGGGAACACAGAAGAAGGCAGTTTCCACTCTTCCCCTCTCCCCCCGATTACAACCACCTGCTTTTTGTCAGCAGACTAAAATTCCAAGCCTCAACTATACAGTTATTCTACTGGGGAGGGTTGTATGGCTTGCTTCTTTATCTGACCTCCTCCCCATCGCTCATACTCCCTAAGAAGTTAGCATTTAGTCAGCAGCATCAGAAACAAAAATATTTAATTCTCTCACATCTGTACATAGGATCTGACACACACACACAAAGTATGAGTAAACTACTCAGATACAAGTTGGATGATCAAAATCTGGGTAGCAAGCAAGTACATGAGCAACAAGAGTAGAGAGCGGTTTTATCTTTTTAATGTGTTGGGTTTGGGGTTTTGTTTTAAACTAGGATTTAGTTAAATCTCACTGATTTGGTGAGATTACAGTGATATCAGTATGAGCACACCCTATAACCATCATAACTCGCACCTGACTGTACCTATATCAGGTAGTGATGCAGAGGCCTAAACCTGCCTGTATTTAGTTTTGTGATATAGGTTTTGTTTTGTTTTTAACTCCAAATGTGCAGTTCCCTGTGTGTTAGTTAAGTTAATCAAGTAATTAATGCAAGTGCATTCAAAGCCTCTGTTTCTAAATGAAAGTGTTCTGATCTGAGTTGATAAATCAGTGTGTGCTGATTGGTTTCAGATGCTACATTTAGATTATTTTGTGTAAGAATCTAGCTAGTCAGTAAACTTTTATGTCCTGATCCTTGTGGGGAAAAAATGCAGAAATTGGGCTTGTTTTTGGCTTAATTGGCTTGTGAGTTGCTTGTTGGCTAGTTTTTGACTTGTAGCTTGTTTGACTTGTAGCTTGTTGTAGTTTGTTGCTGCTTTTTTTTCTTATCGGTTCCCAGCAAGCAGGGGCAAGGGGGGAGAGAGCCAGGGGTGCACAGCGGGTCCACCATAGTCCCAGACTGCATGCCAGGGGGATCTAGTCACATAGAGGGTTGGGGTTCTTAGGGATTGGCCTGTTTTGACCTTGTTTTGAAATGGGATTAGCTTGATTTTTTTGTTTATTGTGTAAGTCAGGGTGTTTATTTACCATGTGAAAGTGCAACTGTGCCACTGAGGAGGCCAATTTGAAAATTAGGTAATATATGCCCGGACTTGCCATATGGGTGTAGATCTATTCTTTTTAACTACAAGATATATTAATGAAAAATTCTCTGAAGTTATCTAATGTGGAATTAATGCTCTGCACTATCTGCTGTTTGAGACTCAGTACAAGTAACATTAACAGTCTTGTAAAAATAGATGCGCACGGATGCGAAACTAAATTATTTTCTCAGCTAAGCAGAGCATAAAGCAGAACTGCCACAACCAAGTCCAAAATTAGCTTCAACTTCTGGTATGATGGTTTATATAGACAGACATTCTGCTTCTTTTCACTGCGTTTCCATTATTACTGGATTTGAAGATCTGGCCATTGCCACAGGACGGTGATTCATCACTTAAATAGGGCTGGGATGGGGGAGGGAGTGCGGGGTGCTGTGTGCAGGAAGGGGCTCAGGGCAAAGGGTTGGGGTGTAGGAGGGGGCTGAGGGCGGGGGTGCGGAGTGTGGGAGGGGGCTCAGGACAGGGGATTGGAGTGCAGGAGGGGTGTGGCAGGGGCTCAGGGCAGTGGATTGGGGTGCAGGAGGGGTGTGGCAGGGGGCTCAGGGCAGGGGGTTGGGAGCTCAAGGCAGGGGGATGGGGTTCAGAAGGGGTGCGGAGGGCTCAGGGCAGGGGGTTGGGGTTGCGGGGTGTGGCAGGGGGTTGGGGTGCAGGATGCAGGAGAGGTTCAGGGTGTGGGTTCCGGCCCAGTGCTGCTTACCCTGAGCAGCTCCGGGGTGACAGTGGCACGCAGCGGGGCTAAGGCAGGCTCCCTGCCTGCCTTGGCCCCGCACCGCTCCTGGAAGTGGCCGGCATCACGTGCCTGTGGCCTCCAGGGGACAGCGGGGGGCAGAGGGCTCCGCGCACTGCCCTCGCCTGTGGGTACCTATCATATTTTATGATTCTACCTCCCCTGAAGCGCCCATTGGCCACGGTTCCCCATTTCCAGCCAATGGGAGCTGCGGGGGGCAGTGCCTGGGGCCACAGGGATGTGGTGCCAGCTGCTTCTGGGAGTGGCACGGGGCCAGGGCAGGCAGGAAGCCTGCCTTAATCCCGCTCCGCCATGGGGCTGGCAATCCCGTGGGCTGGATCCAAAGCTCTGATGGGCTGGATCCAGCTCGCGGGCCGTAGTTTGCCCACCCCTGTTGTTGTACATTTAAAAAACCAACCCCCCCCTTATTAAAACCTGATTAATGCTTGTAGCTGAAGTGGGTCCTCTATAAAGTGGATATAAGATAGATCATATGAATGAGTATTAGGTCCACTAAAATCATCACCTACCAACCAGATAGTTTTTAAAATGTAATTAACTACTGGTTGAGGCTAAAGTTTCAAAAAGTAGATCCTAGTAAGCAACACAAGGCATAGGACAAGAGCTAGTATACTACTGGCATTTTTGGACACTGACAGTGATCCAGCACCAATGAATAGCTTTACAGTATTGTAAGGGAGAGTAATGAAAGGATAATGCAAAATGTATGTTTCTTAGCACTATCAGATATTTGCACATGCCAAGAGGGGCCATTATAAAAGCTCAACAACTCCGTATATATTTAGGATTCAGCTGTGTGTTTGTACTGGTGGTGGGACAGCAGTTTCTCTACCTTGAGAAACTGATTTCAACAGACAATATTGGTATGTATGCTCAGAGTTGTGGAGTTCTTATTGACATGGAGCCAAATTCATCACTGACTTACACCCATTGCAATCCCATTAAAGGCTTTTCATTTTGACAGCCCCTTCCATTATTAAAAGTTTTTATTACAGTTCCTTATTTTGTAAGGTGTATTTTTAGGGACTAATTCACCACTTCACTATTCCAGTTTTTGCCATTGTAATTCCACTAAAATCAACAGAATAACTCCAGCATGAGGTTGAAGTAAGGCAGTGGTGAATCAGCCTCTTTCTATATTTTTCTGTCAAAACACAATGACTGTAAATCATATAAAACTGTGATTCTGTCCTCCCTCAACCAATACAAGAAGAGAGGGAAAACTAGGGGATTTGCAACATACTAAATTTAAAATCTCTCCAAGACGGGTAAGTTGTTGGAAAGAGGTCAAGGAAGATTTAGGAAGTGGTTACTGATGTGCACTAACTCCTTGGCACCAAAATTCAAGATATCAGTATACAAACTAATAAGGGCTTTGGCCTGGATCATTCATTTCCAAGGACAAATTCCCAGTGGGAAAGAGCTACTTACAAGAGACTCATTGGCTTCAGTGGACTTGCTCACATGCTTAAAGTTCTGTCTCAGGTACTTATAGGGCCCCCATTTCCATAGTATGTGAGCACTTCACAATCTTTAATGCAGTTACACTCCCATGCACTCGGGAGGTAGGGTATTGTGTCTATTTTCACAGTTGGGGAACTGAAGCATAGAGAGCCTGAGGTCCAGATCCTCAAAGATATTTAGGCTCCTAACTTCCACTGATTGAGGATCTGGGCCTAAGCGAATTGCCCCAGGACACACAGCAATCTGTGGTGGAGTCCAGGTATCCTGAGTCCCAGGCTAGTGCCCTAATCACTGGACCATCCTTCCTTCAGAGTTAGTCACATGCAGAAACACCTTGCTCAATCAAGGCTTCAGACTCTCTTTGGATCCTTCTCTACATCATCCCTTCGGTTAGGTGTGGAAAGGGAAGAGAAAGAGATGTGACATACCCCCTTGAGAAAATTCATAGCCAACTCCCAGATTCCCAATCAGACGTTTGAGTTTCCGAGGGCTGTGCTCTAATTTTTTTCCCTACTGTTTTTTTTTAACCCACCAAGGACTGAGTTCAGCACCAGTTCGTATATAGAGGAAATCAAATTAGAGTTGCTTTTTTCCTCATGGAATGATAAAAGGTACTCTTCTTGAGAACAAGAATGATGGCTCATTTTCTCCATCCATTCACAGCAGTGCCATTCTGAACTTAAGTCCTCAAGAGAAGTCTTGACTTACAATCTTTGCATGAGAAAGAACTGATGTTTTGAGATGCTATGGCTCTAAAACAGCAATCTTTTGACTGGTTATTTACATTGTATGAGCTGCAGTGCCTTTGCTTCCATTGAACCAGTACAATCTGTGCCACTACCAAGGTTGCAATGAGAATAAGAACCATCTCCATATGCATAGATCCATGGCCATGCTTTGCATGCATCTTCTGATGCTGAAGTCTGAAAAGAAAATGCATACAATTAAAATGTACACACTAGTCCATACTTTTTTTGACAATGAGAAGCTGGGAGGAGGATAGCTGGAAATGCCCAGACAGACCTGAAGAAGATAGTGAGCTAGTAAATTAGGTGTTAGTTTGCAATGCAATATGCCACTGCAGTTTTGGTCACTATACAGTAACTCCTCACTTAACGTTGTAGTTATGTTCCTGAAAAATGCGACTTTAGGCGAAACGATGTTAAGCAAATCCAATTTCCCCATAAGAATTAATGTAAATGAGGGGGTTAGGTTCCAGGGAATTTTTTTTTCACCAGACAAAAGACTATAATATAGTCACACAGTATAAGTTTTAAACAAACAATTTAATACTGGTACACAGTGATGATGATTATTGTGAAGCTTGGTTGAGATGGAGGAGTCAGAGGATGGGATATTTCCCGGGGAATGCCTTACTGCTAAATGATGAAATAGCAATTGGCTGAGCCCTCAAGGGTTAACTCTCACACTCTACAAGGCAGCAGGAATGGAGGGAGGGAGAGAGCATCGCAGACAAAGACACACACCCTGTGTGTGAGAGAGAGCGATGTGCATTTCCCCTTTAAGTACACTTAGGGTTACCATTCGTCCAGATTCCCCCGGACATGTCCGGCTTTTCTCAGTAAAAAATAGCGTCCGGGGGGAATTTGTAAATGTCCAGACTCCCCCCTCCACCCCCCCTCCCATGCAGAGTGCGCGCGGCTGACATGGTGCCGGCCGGATGGTGCCACTTGCATGGGGCTCCGGCAGCCAGAGAGAGCCCCTCCTCCACTTCCCCCTCCTCTCCCCTGCAGCTGAGATCACTCCCCTCCTCCCTCCCCCTCCCTGCATTCGCAGCCGGCCGGCCGTTCGCAATGGGCCTCCGGCAGTCTGGAGCTCCTCCCATTGCCCAGCGCGCCGCTTCCCAGCACTCTGCAAGGGCAGGAACTGGGCTATGCGCTCCGTGGGGGAGCACAGCAGCGTGTCGGGCTGTGCATGGAGCTCAATACGCTGTTCTGAGCAGCACAGAAAGGGGGGCAGGGGGGCAGAGAAGGGGCACGGAGGCTCTGGAGGGGGCAGTCAAGAGACAGGGAGCAGGGGGAGGGTTGGATGGGTTGGGAGTTTGGGGAGGGGCTGTCTGGGGGTTGGGGGTGTAAGGTTTCGGGCAGTCAGGGTATAGGTAGGGGGTAAGGTCCTAGGGGGGCAGTTAGGGTGGGTGGGTCTCAGGAGGGGGCAGTTAGGGGACAAGGAACAGGGAGGCTTAGGTAGGGGTGGGGTTCTGGAGGGCAGTTAGGAGCAGGGGTCCCAGGAGGGGGCAGTCAGGGGACAGGGAGCGAGAGGGGTTTAGAGTGGGGTCGAGGAGTTCGTGGGAGGGGGGCCGTGGTCAGGGGGTCGGGGTCGTTGGGCG